GTTTTTTAGATTAATTTTTTAATCTACTATAATTATTTTTTCTGACTTGGGCCTATTTGCAACCCAAGGGCAATTTGGTGACCTTTGGTCAAACTGAAATGTCCCGGTGTTTGGGAAAGTCCCAACTTTGATGTGGGATGGAAAAAGGAGCCTGCTGTATGCTGTCTGAGGGTTAAAATACAGTACTGTACTGTATTACAGTCAAACCTCAATTTAGTGCCATCATTTGCCCCACTAGCACATTTTCTGGTGCTGCTGTAAGCAAATAAGGTAGCAATAAATCAAGGATATTCTTTTGAGAGGAAGGTTCAATTGTGGATTTCTACTGGTGACATAATGAACTTTTTTTGCAGAATGTTCAGACCACTGAGTCTTTTTTATGAGAGAGAAAGTGGCATGAAAGGATTTGAAGCTCAAATGCACTGTATTTCAATACATTATTCAACAAGCTATACAGAATATATAAGATTTCTACACATATTTTGTCATACAAAGGAACAGAGCTGTCTCCTATAAAGTTCTGTTTGAGTAAGTGACATCATTTAGGAATCCCTAATTTTTCCAGGGAAGCTCCTTATTCATTCATAAAATTTGTGGAAAGGGAATGCATTATATGTAACAAGAACAACATTTTTTCAAAAATTTAAATTCAGGAATAGAATGTACAGTGTAGCATTTCTGTGAGTTTCTAGGCTTTAGTGTGTACACCTGCATTTGTGTGTATGTATTTGCTTATTCAGTATATAGTATTACTGTAATGTCTTGAATTGATTCTCAGAACAGTACACCCAAAGAGGAACTGCTGAGCATGTGGGGAGAGCGACTAACTTGCGAAAAGGACGTTTGGGGTGTGTTCGAGCGTTTCATCAGTGGAGAGATAAACGAACATGGAGTAAAGGTACTGTACATAGTAGGCAATACATAATGCACATTTCCAGAGATTTTTTCCTGGAAAAAATCTATGGTCGATGTATAGTGTTGAATCAAATGTAGGTTTTTGAACTGTCCAAATTCCTATGTGAATCAGGTGACAACTATGCCATGGTCTGACGCGGAACTTGAGCCAGAGACATTCCTGCTCAAGGACAAACTGGCAGAGCTGAATAGAAAGGGCATTCTCACCATCAATTCCCAGGTGATTTGCCCTGATCTCATCTCATTAAATGTTTCCCTTCTCTCTTTTTGTAATTTTTGATACTACAGTCAAACTTCTCCAAGTTGAATTTCAAGGGACCAGCAAACAATTTTGACTTATAGACATTTGTGCTACAGAACAAAGCCCCTTTTTTTCTGGGAAACTTGGAAAAACTGCCCAAATTGTAAATCATTATATTCTGGGGCTTAAATGGCTTCTTAAATGAGTTGAAAGGATGCTGAAATTTCAAGGCAGGGGTTCATTTGCCCAATCAAGTCATTCACTTGGTTTAAAACACATCAATTTATGTTTTTATGGCTTTTTTTCTATCTTGGGTCAAGAAAATAATGGCCAGTAGGCCACAGAAAATGTGACTTCTGGAGGTTTGAGGGGAAAAGCCTTTGACTTGGGGAGGTTTTTAATGTATTATGTTTCTAAGGGGATTCAGATGGGGACATAAATAAAATATGACTAATGGGGTATTTGACTTGGGGAGGTTCAAGTTATCAAGGTTCACTTGTATCTACAGGTCTGTACATGCATGTCAGATGTTTTTCAAACATTTTAGAACTAATGAAGATTATTAGAGAGGCAGTGACATCTACCTTCATACTACAGTTGCATCTGTGGGTTATGGATCCCAGTTAAGCATTTCTTTGTTGGTAGATGTCGCTGGTATAGGACACGGAAATGCAGTTGAACCTCAATAGCCACTCATACTTTCCCATGATGAATTTTTTCAAATTCCCTCAATAACCATGCATCAAAAAACCTCATCCCCAACTTACTTGCTTTCCTCCTCAAAACCTCCAAAAATAAATTTTCCGGAGGCCTTTTTGTCCATTACATATTTTATTGACCCAGGAAAGAGGAAAGGAAAACAATAAAAATGTAACTTGTTATGTTCTGAAAGGAGGTGATCAGGTGAAGTTGTATTTGGGCAAATGAACCCTTGCCTTCAACTTCAGCATTCTGTCAGCTCATAGGCCCAGAATATCACC